AAAATTATTCAGATGATCTGTCATTGCGGAACCATCATGGTATTTTAAACCCAACATCTGCTTAATCAGAAACATCTTATTGTTTTCGGTTTTCCGAGCATAAAAACTTTCAAGGTGCTCCCATAGGGTCTGAGCATGTGTTTTCCCAGAAATATGGTTCAAAACATTATCGTCAACCCACTATCTAATAAAGCCGCAAACCTGCCCGTGTAACAAATTTCACTCTTCATCTGATTTATTATCAGGCTTTATAGTGGTGAAGGCAGGTTGATGAAAATTCTTAACATAGAGCAAGTCTTACAGTTTGCCCTTCCAAATGGCATAATTTGTGCCATTCAAAGTAAACATTCTACTAGTGTTTGCTTCAATCGTTTATCACAAATACAAATACTATTTATTAGGAGACCAAAGTAATTCTTTTCTGATGTGGAAGTTCAGAATGTGCTGCAACCACAGAGCATACTCAGACAGAACCATGGCTGTGATACCACTTGTTGGGAATAAACCCCGTAAAAATAATATTCACGGTATTAGTGATAAACGCAGAACACTAAGTTATGGTTAAATCAGCAAGAACAGAAATGCAGCAATAATGACCCCAAGATTTTACGTGGAAACCCTTCTGAATAAGGGAAAAACCACGGCCAAGAAGAGCAACTGATATCACTATAGCGAGGAATTTTACACTATGTAGTAATGAGTACGAATATTCCTAAGACCACTACACCCTCAAAAGAAATAAACACTCTTTTGCTTTTTCCACCTCACTACAATATCTCTCACACTCTATTTTTCTTCACAAACTATTTTCTTATAGTTTATGGAATACATTGCTCTCTCTCTCTTTTCTCTCTTTGTTGGTGTGTAGAAATGAGAGCCGAAGCCCTCCTTTTATAGGCAGAGCTTTTCTCTCTCACGCCTACTACATTTAACATTTTCCTTCTGCAAACTACCCTTTTTGACAATGCAAAAGAAAAATGTTTGCTGCCAATTTTGAACAATCAACAAAAGGAAGAAAGTCTTTCTTAATTGATGGGATGGACCCCACAGTTTAAACCCCAACCGTAACATCCTAAAAGTTTTTTAAATCCTCTTTTATAAATTTCTGGTTCCACCTCTGCTTTGAGCTCAGCGAGGTAAAGATTGTAAAGAAACGAAAAACACAAAAACTTGAGAAGCAAGTCTCATAAAGGAGTTTACAAATTCATCAAGGCTGAGAATTTTATTAATTCTAAGGATTAAGATATTTAAGAAAAACCACTACTTTGCGCTAACCTGTTCGTGAAGTTGCCCCTTGTATACTCTTCCACAACCGCCTTCTCCAAGAAGACAATCATCTCGAAAGTTTCTGGTTGTATTGGTTAATTCCTCGAATGTAAAAGTTTTTGCAACAATGCTACTAGATCCTGCAATATTAGCAGACTCCATAAGGTATATTATCGAGTTCTTAGCCTTATGTTACAAAGGGGAAGATATGACTATAACAGAAACCAATGTAATCGTTTTAACATGGCAATAGTAGAAATACTAACAAAATGACAACAATTTTCAGCATTCAGCTTCTCATTGGTCCAATTGTTGGAAGAAAAGTAATTTCCTATGCACTTTTCTATGAAACTTCCTCTGAATGTGACATTTATCTTTCCTTTACTTTTTGAACAGGTCAAACCGGACCACTATTCCAAATTAGTCAAATCACAAACAGTGGTAGAGCCAAGAATCCTAACAAGTAAATGCAAAAGTGCTATACAAAGAAGCTTCCCTTATTTTAATGGGATTAAACAATATATATTTAGCGTACTTATACATTATAATTTTAAGACGAGGGGATTCAATTGAACCATCTTCTTACCTTCAGCTAAGACACTGGCCACAAATTCTCATAAGATATACATAGGGACTTTAACATACAATTATCATTAAAAAGATTTTTTTTATCTATGATGCTTCCAGGTACACAAAAGGGATTTTACACAAATAGCCGTTCATATTCAGTATTTACTTTTTCTAACCATATACATACATTATATATTGATTATACAAAATTAATATTTAGTTTTTGCTGGTCCTTGCCAGTGAATTTTATTCAATCAACCATCCTGAGTTAATTAAAATAATATTCTTTTTTTTTTTGGTTAAACATTTCACGTCCAAGTAAGCATCTTCCTCCTAAAAAAATTAACAGCCCTAAATATGAAACTATCTTCATGCGCAAATGCTTTAACCTCAAACAAATAAGGCAACATGTGAATATATGATTCAACATAAACAAGATTTCTTAGCATATGAAAAAAAACAAGTCAAATTAAGGGCAGGCTCAAGATCATCAGAATAAGTGAAATGACATAACTTTGCCTTAAACACACATGCAAAATTGAAATATGAAAAGCTACCTAGGAATTGAACCGCTATCCAATCAATAGCTACATACTCAGAGGCGGATCTAGAATTTCAAGAGGATGAATGCACTATTGTGAAGAGGTGAATATAGAAATATATTTGACCGGTTTAACTTTAGTCACTTACCATGATCCACTATACTTATAAAATTATAGGTTCAAAATTATATTTCTTTGAAAATTTAGTAATTTTCACATATATATCTTGGATACGCCTATGTACATACTTTCCTTTTATTTCCTCGAATACGTACTCCTTCGGTCATCCCGGAACACATGAATCTATTCTTTCTGTGTCCCATATCCACTTATGTTAAAATATCTGCCCATTACTCACCAAAAGAAAATGCTAATCAGGGATCAAAAAAAGAAAGCTAGGGCCTCGTCAGAAAGACTTGGTTCGTAGAGCAAAGCCTTTTCCCCACAATATTCGTTTTACCCAAGAAAGAAAAAAAGGAGAATCAATTTAAATATGTAGGATTATTATATACCAGAAATGGTTTTCTCTTCTTTGGCATTTTCTTAAACAGTCCGGTGCACGAGAAACAATTCATCTCTGAAGAAAAAAAAAATGAGAAAAAGAGCGGCAAAAAAGAAAAGAAAAAGAAAAAAGTACAGATTAATGCTTTTGCGTGGCATATTAAATCATAGTAGTTCTGTATTTTTTTATTTTCAATTTAGGTGTCAACCGTCAACTATGTAGTAATACCTCGGCTTCATGATTAAAATATCACAAGTGTGTTTCCCATTGCATAATTGATTATATTCAGCAGAATATTTCTTATTTCCATGTCATCAATCCTTAAATGATGTTTCGCATGCCAAATTTCAATGTCCAAATGGTTTGCATCTTCACTCACAGTTGCAACCAAACGCAATTGAGTAAAGTCTCAACAGGGATATAATTTAATACTCCATATTAAGCAAACTTAGGATCAACACAGACACATCAAGAAAGAAGAGAACTAATATATTAAGACACTGGTAGAAAATAGTTTATTTTATTCAATAATCTGCTACCTGCAGCGTCAAAGTACCTGCAGCTCTAGAATGCATAGACATTATACATTTCTCTAAATCTAACTCTATCCTGCAAAACTGTTTTTTAAATAACCATGGTGCCAGCTTGCGCACACCTCGGCTAATTCCATGGGATACCTGCTACCTCCCACCAACAACAGGTACCAGATAACTCTATCCACCAAGGCTTGGACAGATAGGAAGAAATCATCTAGTGTTTTTTGTTTCCGTTGAGAATTGAGCATGAGACCTCATGGTTCTAACCCACTTCATTGACTTAGGCCACACCCTTGCAATAAAAATAAAAATAAAAATGTTTCCACCAAAAGCACACGATGCTACAAAATTGTTACAGGTAGAATTCAAAAGAATTCGAGATTGCCAGTTATAGTGACCGGTGGATTTATATCAATTCGAGTAGCCTTCCCTTGTGAAAGTAATTGTGGCAGTGTATTGGCTTCTCTGACTGCAACTCCTTCGCCAGTCCATACTGTGACATGAGGCCATTGGTTTTCGGAATTGACCTTTTCACCTTCAACAGAGCCAGGCTCAGCTTCTAGTGCAGCCAGTTTTTCGGAGAACAACAAAGCAGCCAACTCTACCGGCACCCTTTGGTCAAGAAAGGAAGCGTATTTGGCAACTGCAGTGACATCGTGACTTCTCTTGTGAGCCAAGGTCAAATGGGCCTTCTGAATGCAGCTCTTTAAGCTTTTGTCCTTCAAGAAATCACCAACTTTCGGATCTTTCTGGGCTAGCTGTCCACAAAATAATGAGAAGCATGAGATAACATAGTCGGGTCCTTTATGCGAATACTTTATTGACATGAAGGACTTTTAACGAAATGCAGAAATTTCAGATGAGATAGGAAATCACTACGATTGAGAGGACAATAGAGCGGAAGCAGAATATTTGCTTTTCTCGGATAAAGAGATTATTAATTGAACGACACAGAAGGCAACAAACAGATAAACAAGAAAGACCATCATTCTCTTCAACCTGCCAAGAAAACAATTTAGCCACAAGGAGTAATATATTGTTTTGTGCACAAACCCTTAAGTATGATAAGAGCATAGACCACTAAATACAACTAGCAAGATACAAAATTTCCAGCCATCAAAGACTCCACAAGTGCAACATATAAATTTGCAAATTCACTTACATCATTCAGAAGACCAAGAATTTCTGGAACTGGTAGGCTGACAGCACCAAACACAATAGATCCTAGCTTCCTCTTCTCAGAAGTAGGCGCTGCATACTCGGCCCTCGCAATAGCTCTCAGTTNGGGGGTGGGGGTTGCTGATCATGGAATATTGAATCATCCAACTAACCCAAATAACAGAAAGGCGTTGCTCATGCAGCATGTATGATCTTCTTTGGCATACCAGCTCACTTTAAGGCAAGTAATTCATTCTTTTTCTACAGACATGGCATCCTACCTAAGCCACTCTTTCCTCCAAATCCCTACAGCCTCCCCATGTCAAAGAAGAGTTACATACAGAAAAAACACATCTATGCAAACAGCGCAGGTAAAGAAGCTTCTGTGCTTTGTCATTGGCTATGCTATATGAACTCGTTTACGGGTATATATATATATATATATCCTATACGGGTGAGTCTATGTATCTGGTATGGCGCCAAATTTGTTGCTGATTTTTGGCGTATTTGAAGAACCCACACGAAGTACCCCAATCTTTACCACACAATTACTACACAGGTACGTCAATTCAAATAATGTATGCATGTAGTACATCTACGTGTCATGGGTAACATCTGAAGCGAAGGGCTTGAATAACAATTATAGCAATCATAATTTTATTTCCAGTGGAAGGTAAGATCAGAGAATTACGTGCCTTGAGAGATCTAAGCTGCACAAACTTACCTGTATTGAATTGAGATATAGTCGGCATTTCCAAGTAGAATATCCCTCAATTGCTTCTCCCATTTCACTCTCTCTTTTGCATATGTCCCTTTAGTAGACTCCAATCTACAGGATTGAATGTAAAAAATCACACACAACGAGAAAAACTCATTAGTAACAATCAATCAACTGGAAACAAACACCATTACCTTAGAACATTTTTAATCAAGAGAAAACTTGTATATATAGAATGGTGGGTGAACTTAGCTTTTTCACTCAAATACACAAAAATGAACTTTATCAATGTGTAACCAAACATCAGACTTTCTTGTCCTCCAACTACTAATATCATAAACCTAACAAGTTTATCTAACACAACTATCTTTTATTTTGCCTTTTGTTGGGGGTGGGGGGTGGGGGGGATAGTTCGAGGATTCTGCATGGTTGGGAAAACAGATCTTATAGCCCCAAAAGAAAAAGCATATAAGTGGTCTTAAACCTACTGAAACATGCAGACAAAATGCAGGTTCATATTCATGTTGCAATAAATTTAGTGCACTATACACAAATACATGCGCACGTGGTGTGTGTATACATACATAAATGTGGAATACAAAGTTATCATTAGGCAAAAGCAATACAACAAAAGCAGAATCGTAAAAAGGAGTTTCATAGCTCCGGATCATGCGAGTCAGGACACTGGAAATCAATGAGCATATCAGATTTTCACTAATGCTTTTCCAGCCTATAAGCCCCTGATATCCATCTTTTTCCTGGCCATATGACGCTGGAAACTTCCCAATGCCATTAAGAATCATAGAACCCTTAAGCCCTAAATTTCTGTTACCCCTGATCAACCCCAAATCTGTGCCGCTTTGGATCATACAAACCATCGTAAAGTTGACAGCAAAGCAATAATCAACAGACAAACAACAAATGGAACGGCTCATCATATTCAATCGACTAAAGGAATAAGAAAAGTATTGCGCCCAAAGAAAGAGGGAATTAAGGTCCAATATTTGGACTGGCAGAATAACTGTTGTAAGCTGTAATATTTTTTTAATTTTCTCCACCGACCAGAATTATTCAGCTAACCATTAACTATCAAGACCTCTATGCATCATAACAGAACGCAGTCATCACAAAGTCAAAAGAGTTGAAGCCTCTCGTATGAAGAAGTTGGAAGAAAGTTGTCACACATAATATCCTTACTTTTAATAACGCATTCTGGAGAAAGAAGTGGAATTTTCAAAAGCAACTCATAATTGCTTCAACATACACTTTTACTTTGAAAATATCTAAGCTGAGGATGTAATAGAGAGAGCTCCATATGGTGCAACATATAGGAAGGCATAATACTATTTCTCATCATGAACACTATAACTCAAATGCAAAAACTGGGAGAGGGTGTGGAGGAACTCATTAACTACACATTTTGACAGTATCTGAATGTAACACTTACCTTCGATTTCTTGTGAAGCTTGTACAGATTAATTCCATCCTCAATAATAGACCTCACAGAATCTGGTAAAGGAGACCTTCATATGATCATAACAATATCAACAGCAAGTAAAGAAAATGAACAAGGAAAGACCAACATGTCCTAGAATGGAAACAGTTTCAAACTACATAGGTCAAATACCAAATACCGCCGACAGCAATGCCAACAGAGCACAGACTTTAACGATATTAAGGAAGTCATCTGACATGATAGTAGAATATTATCAGATTCCAACGTTACCTGCGGCATTTTGTTGGTTGAATTGTTATAGACAAGTGGTGAAGACGTATTTAAGAAAATAAAAGTGTGCTCTCTCTAATAGCTTAAGCTTTTCGATGAGATGGTTAAACAACTCCAACATGGTTTAAGAGCCAGAGGTCCTGGGTTCAACGCCACCCATTATCAACAAGAATTTCCACGTGCTTGGCCTGTGAAAAAGGAATCAAGCCCGCACGTGTAGGAGCATGTTGAAGACATAATTAATAAAATAAAATTGTGCTTGCTCACTCTAACAACTTAAGCTATTCAATGAGATGGTGACACAACTTCATCAATAAGCTATATCACTGAAACTTCTAGTTGTGTCTAATATCCTCTAGGGTTGAACATTGTGGAACACACAGCTCGCTGTAATTAGCATACATGTATTCAAAACCCCAGCTTTATACAAAACAATTGGATTTATAGATAACACCCACTTTCATCTTTTTCTTTTCCTTAATCTTTGCTCTTTTTTCTTTTTGGCCGTGAAGAAAGTACGGCGACGATATTGGAGTTTGTGTTCAAAGTTAGCAATCTCCTTCAAATTTTGGAAGGCCGTTGATATATTGTATGAGTTAGAATTTAAGCTTAACTAAATTAGAGCTATATTCACTCTAGTTAATGAAAATTAATGATTAGGTGAAAGCAAAAACAACCAGTTTGGCTACATTGTGAAACCGTACTTGATCATTGAATGCCAACTCAGATGCATGTCAAACATCAATATACTCGATTATATGATGATACTATGCAGAACCTTTGAGTCATCATGTCTTATACAATAACAATGGTTTTCCTTTTTATCTGGCTGGAAAAATAAGAACAAATTCTATTTTCTTCTAAAATGAGTCTTATGACCAAACAAATACTTCAATCGAACAACCTAGCCCTAAATTGGAAAAGACCTCACCAATAAATGTAGACATTCAATGTTTGGGATTATATTAATATATCCATTAGAATCACTTTAGATACTTTACAATCGTTCATCATTGTTCTAAATGACTTTAGGTTGTTGTTTGTCAAGGAATATGAGAATTAACCTTTCAAGTCTTTTATTTGATAGGTATCATAGTACTAAGACAAACTATGGAGAGATAAATTCGGAGAAAATTTCAAGTACTTCCACTCAAGTTCAGCAACATTATGCACGCTTCCCCTAGCATAAGAAATTACACCAAAACCCTCTTGTTCAAAATTGCATTACAAATATCACACTCGATAGCACGGAATAAAAAACGATTATGAAGAGGATTCACTTATAATATCAAATCAAATGTTATAGTCTTAATCAATTATTTACCTTCTCTTTTTTCTCAAATCAAGCTGAAGAGGCCAACATCATTAAGGGGGTTCAGAAGAAAGAAATCTTACTAACCTTTCAGGTTTCAGTAGAGGCATCCTGACAAGTGAGCCAAAACGTTCAATAAGCTCACTCTCGAACTCCTGACGATTCTGAGTGAAAAGTGAACCAACAGAATCAGATACAGATCCCATGTTTGTTTATTTATTTACTTCGTCAACTAACAGTTCGTACAGAGAAAGATCTCAGATAATCTTGTCAGCTGAATAAAAATCTGCACCTTTCCCTCATAAAGGTGATAAAACATTAGCAGCACACATCCAGCATTTGGAGATGACTTGTCAAGATTTCCCTTCAGGATCAAGCATAAAAGAGAGGTCTGAGGCATCAATATCCAAGTTGAAGGGAGTAAATGGGCGAGAGCAGTTTACAAGGACGGAGTAATGAAGAGTTAAGTACCGGATGATTAGCTCGGTGAAGTACTCGGAATATAAAAATCGCAAGTGCATCAACAGAGAATGGATTGATTTCAGTTCCTGCATGATTAGCCAGGCAGTAACTAAGACCCCATTTAGGATACGCATGGATTAGTATGACCCAAGAAAAAAGAAATGAACTTTCAAACACGCAATTCTCTTACTACCACTACCAATATCACTAACTGTAAAGAAAGGTAATCTAAAACATCATTTTGTGCAAGCAACATGAAGCATTTATCCAATAATTGTTCCCCAAGAAACAAAAACATACAGCAAGATGATACCGAGTTTCACCAGTCTAAGTTAAAGATAACACAACTGCAAAGCCAGGAGTGTAGGTGGGAAGTATCTGCCTCATCTCCAAGAAACAAAAGCATATAACAAGATGACAGAGTTTTCATCACTCTAAGTTAAACAGACAAGAGAACTGCAAAGTCAGAGCTCAGAGGTCGGGAAGCATTTGTCATGCTTCCACCTGAATCAGACATAAATTTTTCACACCAACAAACTAGAATTGCCAATAACACAAATCTGAATAAACATAGTAAGAAATGCAAAAAGAAGCCATCAGACTGGGTGAATTACCAAATCATTTGACCCAACTTTTTGTAAATTAAAGCAAACTTGCATGAGAAGCAGCATAACAGGTTATCGAAAATGTAAGCAACAGAAACTACAAAAGAACCATCTCTCAAGACCTTCTGAATCAGGTACAACTGGAATAGCAGATGCGTTGGTGCTTAGGCACATCTTCTCAATCTGCAAAGATGAGATTTAAAACCCTGTGAGCAAATCTGGATATCATGATTTGAAGCTACCACTACATCTAATGTTATTTCCGAACTGAAATAACCTTAAAAACTCAAGTTCTTGCATTCTGTGGCATTATAGAAAGTTGTACGCAAAGTACAGAGATCTGATACAACTATACTTTGTAATCTTGTGCGATATCATGATTTGAAGCACAACCACTACATTTTATGTTAATTTGGAACTGAAAATAACCTTAACAAGTGCGTTAAATTCAAAATTGTGTTAGAGGATTTGTACTACCCGGGAACAGTTTAGCAAATACAAAAATTACCTGTCTCCATGCTTTCTCATTTGGTGCATTCTTGTCAGCAAGCATGATTGAGTTAGGTTTTCTTCGGCATTCATCAGCAACTTTTTGCCAATATCTACCTATTAATATGATGGACGTACAGATATCAAACTTTATTATCTAAGGAAAAGCTATGTCCATCAAGCAAGGAAAAGAGGGAGATTATTAATGGAAGATCCAAGAATCAGATGTTTCTGGCTGTTGAAGTTTGGCAAAATGCCAAAGTGCCACGTTGGTTGGGAGTTAAGTTTGGGGGATTTTTCCCCTATAAAAGAAGGCCTAATGTTTAGGATTGATACACACCTCTCATTTGC